AACTCCAACTACCTGTGGCATCTTCAAGGCTATTAAAACACCAGACACTGGTAGCGGACAGAAATAATCTATTGCTCCTCAAGACCTGTTGCAAAGGACCAGAGCTGGCTGTGAGATTCAGAGGTACGCCTTTACTGTTCTTGAACTTTATTTAATGTAAGATTACCTAGCTAAGTCAACCAGTTTCAATCTGAGAAGAGGATCGGTAACTTCAGTTGGCCTAGTTTTCTGTTGAATGATTTAGGAGATTGGACTTCAAAAACTTATTGAGTCATGGACTTCCACTGGTTGAGGATTCGATTCGATAATCGGTAGCCAACTGACAAGAAATTTGTTCTAGGCTTGTGAAAATTTTCGGAGTTTCCCAGTAAATTCTATATTTTAGAAGACAAGAAAATAAAGGCTTGCGAAGTACAAATTATTAAACTTAATCTAAAAACCGTATCCCAGTCACTTTAAATCCCTCCATATGATGGGGGGCATATGTTTGGTTTAGCCTGTCTTTCATCATGCAGCTGCTTGACGACACAGGGAATCAGCATTATTTCCGTTATTTGAACCTTTGCTAACTGGTCGCTGTCCTTTTTAAGAAGGATACCGATGATTGTGTGCAGAACTCAACTTTAGTTTGAACAAATACTGTATGACAAGTCAAAACAGTCTTAATATTTACCTAGAAAAAACTCTATGTATTGACAAGAGGATTCTTAAAATATTAGCAGCTATCAGATGGGAGTGTGAAGTGATTTTCAAGTCTTGACTAATAATGACTTTTAGATTAGTGTTTACCTAGGTCATAGGTAGCTCAAAATCGTTCACCATGTGTAACAAAAAGAATGCGTTGAAAAACCCTCAAAAGTATTTTACTGGGCAGTACAGTTATTTGTTTAATCCTCCACCCTGTTTTTTATAACCCCGCCTGGAGTCCCTTCGGGGGCTACTGCAGGTCCTAATCCCGGATAAAGGAGAAGGGTTGGGCATGGGGTTAGCGACCCCATCCCGTAGAAAACTAACTCGCTAAAAAAACGCTAACCAGGAAAAACCATAAAAAAACACTAACCTGTTTTTCATTATAACTCCTACCCAGATCTTTCGTAACCACGTCCCGTTGTCTAGTTCATTACTAGTACTACAACAATAATAGACCTAATCTCAAAATTGCAGATTTGTCATGATGTGACTATCTAATCTATAAAATTGTACGTGTAAATTCATCCATCGTCTATACTTCCTCGTTCTTTCAAGATGTCAGCAGTGTGACCTCTATCGCTTCTGAAGAAATTTAGACTGAATAGAAAGTAATATTTTTCATGCGAAATACAGTGGGCTATAAACAGGGTGACCACACCTTTATGGTTGAGCGATACCTAATATAATTGTTACGACGTTTACCGTTGCTGACCTTATCTCCCTGTTAGTTGTTGGATATGAATTTTCTCAGTAATTATATGTTCACCTTCGAGAATTATGTAGTTAGAGACCAGTATCACTATAAGGCAGTCCCAAAAATATCCCTCTTTAAGTCCATAGAGTAAAAAAAGTGCCAGAGAAACTTTTCACCTAATTAGCACTGAATAGAACCTTGCGGAAACTTCTGGCAAACACAGAATCAAATGTCACCGTTTGGATCGGATAGTTAGCTATGCTGCTACTGTGTTTAGCATGGTTCCAGAAACTTAAAGAAGCACAAGGGCAGGTGCAATACCATAAATATCTGCGTTTTTCTGCATAATAACTGGTCTTGGAGTAAAGCTCTTAATCACATCTGGAGTATCTTCTCTAGTGTTTCTGTTGGTATTCAGAGGTAATTAAAAATGTAAAAAACAGCTAGCAAGACGATTTTAGCGAGTCAGTCATGAGACTCATCAATCAGAAACTTCTGAACTCAAGACTATCTAGATAATTCCTCTTGGTTGTTTTGAAGCTCTAAACAATCATTTTCATTCCTTACTGCTCTACATGTCTCCATATCGTCTGCATATAACGGAATCGATTGTGCTAGAGGATTAAGGCTATTTACACTCAAAGAA